GTCCTTGTGTACTTAAAGTATTACGTTTATACTAGAGATGGCACGATACCACTTTTTTATGTCCGATACCGATATCATAAATTTGGATATCTGCCGATACCGATATGAATCCGATATAGTGTGTTTTTTAATCAATAAAACGTTTTTTAATATCTTGCTGCATTTTGTATACGTTTATACTCAAGTTTAAATAAACTGATTTTATAAGTGTATCCCTCATGGACTCTGAGAAGATATAAGATATAAGATATAAGTTGAGAGAAATTTTGTATAATTCTTTAATTTTGGTCCATTAAATCTTGTTATGTCTTATGATTCTCTGATGTTTGCAATACCACCATCCATGCAATGTAAACAGGTTATTTTTGGCTTGGTTGTTAAAAGAATTGGTTCAGGATGAATGTGCAATGCTTTAGTGAAACATTACCTTTTCATTTAACACAAAAAGCAGGTCAAAGTTGATTTTTTTACATTTATTCAAACTTTATTTCCAAATTATGTTTTGCCTGACAATAAGATGAACATGACCAACAACATAAATTGTTAACATCAGCAGTTTTTAGTGTTGTCATTACAGCTGTCACGCTGTCAGACTTTAATACATGATTATTGAAGCCGAAAGAATTCCTGATAATAATATTATTGCATAATACTATTATACAGATGCTGCCAATAAGTGTGCTATTTAAAAAAGGAAATATACCATTGTGTTTATAATATACAAATAACTTCAGAAGTAACTGTGTAAATAATCTTTAATGTAATGATCCTTAAAAATCTTAATCATTTTTGGTTATCATGAGAAAATTGTTATTCTTTGGGCCACCATCATCATGCTTAAACACGAGCACCCTAAATGATAATAACAGTGATGATGCTGGAAACAAAGCATTTCCTTACTTGTTGAGTTCTTTCATGAAGATTTCTATGGACTCTCCGCTGGCGTCCACCACCTCCAGGATCAGAATGATGTCATATCGAGACACAATCTTTGAAACAGAGAGAAAAAAAAGCTGAACTGATCAGATGCGTTACTACCTTAAAGATAATTGTTCAGTTAAGAAAATATTTACAGATATTTAAGATTTAGCTCTTCCAGATATGTAAAATATATACTGACATTTTTCTATGTTTTTATAAAAAATACTTATGTAAATATTCTGAGTTGCAACAATAAAGCTGAAGAGGTATCAAAAAAAGACAGAGATGGGAACAATCAGAGAAATGCTGAGTGACTTAAATTGTGTGGTTATAGAGGTAATGGTGGTTCTGTGAATGAAGGGCAAGCTGCCACTGAGCGTGGTTACTTGAAAGGACAACAGGCCAGTGGATCCATGTTTAAATTAACACACTCTGATTGTGTGTTTGCTATTGTGGTTCCTAAACAGCCGACACTCAGAGCGGCTGATCTGTACAGTGGCGTGTTGACTAAATATGAAACAGATCTAATACAATAACAATAATAAAACATGGGTTTAAGCAAAGAATTGGAAATGTAACCTCATCACCAGAATAAAAGTTAAGTACAAATCAGTGATTCAATGATACAGCAAGAAACCACAAGTCAAAATACAACTTACTCCATGTATTTCAGTATATTTTCAGATGCATATATAGGATTACATTTTTACTTGAACAGTGAGTCCTGATACTTATTTTACCACTTTGCAACTCAGCTATTTAATAGAAAGTTTTTATATAATACTTAATTACTTAAATACTTAATAATTGGTAGGAGGGCTGGACTACTTTTCTACATTGTTATCGCCCTTGGTCTTCTTTCCGTGACAAAAAGCCAAAGCATACTATTTTGTCACATGATCAGACATTTTAATGAAAGCAGGAGCCAGACCTGCAGGTCATTTACAGTTTTGTAAGGTGAAAGTATGTGTGGGCTTTTATACTGGTTATTACCTTAGTCAGGATTTCGAGGACATCAGGGTCTGACACTTTCGTTATTCCAAACTTCTGAATGTTAAAAGATGCTATTTTCATGATGGCTGCAAAAAGAGGACAAGCATAGCAATCAGAATTATTGTCTGAAGGCCAAGAAAAATTCCCAACAGATTTTTCCATTTTTCCAAGTGGACCATTATTGCTTTTGCCATACTGGTCCACTTGATTGTCATAGTTTGTTCGATCTACCCGAGCACCCAGCCCCGGACACTGAGAACCACCAACGGGTGGGAGCATCAGCCACTTGCAGTGAGCGTAGTTGGGGAAGATAGGCATTGTATAGGAATTTCTTTTACTTATGTATTAATCACATTATTTTATTGTATAATGCCTTGGTGCAGCTAGATTTTAACATGTCTCACACTCATACAGTAAGACAAATGGTGGTGGTCTAGTAAGGACGTTGGGGGAAGCAGACAACTCCACAGGAAGAAACTTTTGTCTCTTTGAGGACTCTGGGAGGTAGCAAGGGAGTGTGAAACAGCTGTGTACTGCCTTTTGTTCCTGAAGAAGGTATTAACTGGGAGCCTCAAGGAGATTTATCTTTTCTATTCTTTGGTTTCTTCGTTAGAGTTATGTCTTATGGTTTGTCTCTGTGTAATCCTTAGTTGCTGTCTCCCCTGTTTGCTATATCCCCGTGTCCAGTCAGTGTCTGTGTCTGCCCTGGTCCAACGTCTCTGTTCCCTCTGTTGCTGTGCGCGTGTTAGTCTGTGTCTTTAGTTCAGTCTGTGTCATGTTTCCTGTTTTATTTTGAAGGTCCTTGTCTGATGTTAATGTATCTGGTTTCGCTTCCCCTTGTCTCGTTAGGCCTGATTT